CGCTAGCAGAGATGCATCTTTCTAGTGGATGGAGGGTAACATTTGTACCCTTTTTAAGTAGGAAAGAAACCAATTAAGACACATTGAATTGCTCTTGGATCAAAATATTCTCTATTTTGAGGATGTGTATAGCAATGCAGCACTTCCAGATGCTTTAGGACAAGGTTGTTTGAGGTGTTAAGTGAGGATAGAATTTTGTTAGGGCTTGCGTAAGTACTCTTGAATCCAATGACCATTATAAGTAATTGATTTATGATGTGAGTTACCTTTAAAACAATTAACCCCAATATTAATTTGAAATAAGTTTTTTTAAAAGATCTCTTGTGGTAATAATTATGTGGTTGTTATTTCATTCAACCACCCTACTTACTAATTTGTGTGGACGGAAGATGGCTTACTTATTATGTCTTTTTCTTGATAGTATGAGGAGAGATACTTGTAATTTCAACATCGAATTGATTTTTGATCATGTTAAAAAGGTAAGAAAAATGGTACTTCAATCACTTCTAGCTTTTATTAGGAAGATCCATGACACACTTATCTAATCATGAATAAATGACAAACCAGTGAGCCTAGAAAACTTAGGTATAAAGGATGCTCCCTGAATTATCAATACAAATTAGGGAAAAAAAATAACTTTGAGTTTTTGTGTTATTTGTGTTATTGAAAAACTGATTCATTATGTTGTGTTATTTGATAAACATCTTAATGAAATTCTTTATTATTAATATTTTTGTACAATAAAGGAAACATGTTTTTTGAGATTAACAAAAGAAGGGTGATCAAGGCATAGGAATTGGAGCTATATCCTTTTTTATTTGATTGAAAGGTTTCGTTAAGGAAAGATAATATAAAAAGTAGCGTGAAGCTTCTTTGATCCTTAGATTCATCGAGATGATAGATATTATCTATTTCTTTAATAAGCCACTAAAACTTCTCGTGCCCAGTTCCTGAAATACATAATGTGATGGGTAGAATACAACACAACGTGTTTTAATTTGTAGTCTTTTTGATAAGAAACAAGTTAGTGCATACTTTTGGTATATTAAGTACATTTTGTTCATACTTTTGGTATATTAAGTACTTTTTCTAATGCGAGAGATTTGTCTATAAGAATGTCTCATTGGCTAGCAATTGTTGTCAATGATCTATCAATATAGTTATTTTATTGTTTCTAATCCAGAGTATATAAACTAAATTTATGTGAAGAATTGGTCATATGGTGTGTGGCACCTAAATTAATAATTCAAGAGGTGGAATCGGGTATCTTTGGGATTTTCAAAGTATGAGAAGATGGGATAATATATTTATTTTAGTAATCTTATCTAGTGATACAAATAAGATTTTCAACTTTTCTACTTCTTCTTTGTGGGACTGAATGGTTGATTCTTTGGTATTACCTTCTTTCACATGTGTTATATATGCGTCTTTGTTTCTTTATGTCCTTTTTGTGTTGTCCAGTTTTTACATGGTGATTTTTCATGAAGCTTCCAACATCGTTCTTTTATATGTTATCCCGTTTTGCCATGTATATGCTTCATATAGAATCTCTATTGACCTTTTTTTTTATTGGATGTGTCTGATTGTACTTTTTGGGAGGAAGAGAGTTTTGAATTAAGATATTTGATATCAGCAACCTTTGTCATTGAGGCCAAACCTTCCATGGGGTTATTGGTAATCATAATTGCTCCCTCTGATCAAATGATAGCAATGACTTCATTTAGGAAAGGTAAATTCACATTTCCGAGAGATTGTAAATTCAACATTTAATCTAAAATAAAATCATACAAATTTTTTTGCAACAAACCTTTTGAGAGAGATGTTTTTGTTTATTCATTTGGCATTTTGGCTGTATTGATGATGATCAATCTTTTGCCGAAAGATATATAATAGATTGTAGTATTTTTTTAGTGGATCAGTCTCTTTGCTTTATGGCATTGAAATCTTGGTTTTGATCTCTTAGATTTGAGACATATTATTTTATCTAATTTTCCCTTTGGTAAATGAAGGAACATATAGGTGATCATGGAGTTCCATAATTAGCATATCACCATAGGCTCATGCTTATCCCAAGTATTGAATGTGGGGTTGCTTTGCTAAGGAATAGTGCCAAGTAAATAGTCTATTTTTTTTTTAGCCTAATTTTTCTTCATCCTTCAAGAAGGTATGTATCAATTGTGATCACTTAGAGTAATTCTTTTCATTCAAACGAAATGTTCAATGAAGGTTTTATAATTCTCTTGTTGGATTTAAGTTGTCATTCTTAGTTCCAAATGAAGGTTCCTAATTTTTCTTCATTCTTTTCATTCTTAGGAAAGAAAACTCTGATAGTATTTGGTTCTAAGGAGAATAGAAGGCTGTAGTGAAGGCTATAGACGAGCAAGTTATGTGGAAGAAAGATAACAGCAACAATGAATGCTTGCAAGTTCTAGATAATGTAGCAATAAAGGCTTTAGCTTATGAAAATACTAAAAGAAAAAGCACAAGGTAATGATATTAAGACAAGAATTGCAGATAATTAGTTAAGTTTTCATTCCATCATTTATGTTGAATTAATGTCAGTCTAACAGAACCTAAAATTGGAGTATACACAATTTAGAGGCTAACAAACAGCTATTGGATTAATTATAATTAGGATAACCCTCATATTGGTGGGGTGTCAGCAATGATCCCATGGATCAATCAGGTGGAAGAACAAATAAGGTAAGAAATAGAGAGAGAGCTGGCGACAAGGTGAGAGACACAAAAGTAGGAAGCCTTTGCCTATGCTTCAGTATGCTAGGCAGAAAGTCCTGTGTGTGTGAGGCGAAAATCCTGTGTAGTTATTGAAGAGACAGAATGTAGGGTTTCCTCACAAACCACGTGGAAAATATGCCCTTGTGGAAGAAGCTAGTTCTACTTGTGTCTTGTCATTGTGTATGCCATGCTATATTTCTGTAAATTAGTTCTTTGCCTTCCCATCTTTTAGTTAATAGTCTAAAAACACTAATGTTCGTGCATCACTCTCGTTAAAGTAATTTGCCCTTGAAATATGTGGTGATTAAATGTAGTTTGAAAGACAGCAATCGTTTATATCCACATCTATTTCTTCTCCACTTGAGCTACTTTTGAAGTGTTTTTACCCCCACATAATTGCTACATCTGAGGGGTGAGTTGTTGAATGTCTCTACATAATTCTAAGCTAACCACTTTCATCTTCATCCAAATCATCTTTTCTCTCTGAGTCTCCCAATGATTGTTTCTGTAAGTTTTGTTTGTTTGTTTGTGCGTCCTTGTTTGGACAAACTCACGGAACTATTCAGCTTCAACAAACTCTGGCAGAACACTTTTTGGTTGAACCTTGTCGCATTTTCTTCATCATCTTCTCCCTCTGTGTGGTTGAAATGCTATCGCCACTCTTCCTTTACTTCAGAAATGATGCTGCAGTTTCAAGCCTATCCCACCTGTAAAGGGTTCACCACTCTTGCCAAAGAAGATCATTGTTTTTGTCTTTTGTTGAAGCCGTTAAAATCTTGATGTGGGTTATTAAAGGAGATGGGCTCGAGCTCCCCAATTTTTGGAGCATCCAACTCAAAGGAATGATGAAAGGGGTGGAAGATGCAAATTCGACCACCTTTGGAAGACCAGAAGAGACATTGATGGTGATATGTGTGGGCACTAGATCTAAGGAGAAGAGAGGGCTATCTGACAGAAATTAATTTATCCAGATAAGATTGCTCCTTTATCGTGACTGAGTAGTGCGTGACATGTGGAAATAGTTTTGTTTTGGAGGGCTTTCACCAATCACCCTTACAATGAGATATGATCATGTAAAACTTAGTGGTAAAAATCTAACATTTATTTTATGCACCCAATTTGTTGTTTCAATTATTTAAATCTTATTTTTAGTTTCTATTTTAGTTTATATATATATATATATATATATAGAGAGAGAGAGAGAGAGAGAGAGAGAGAGAGAGAGAGAGAGAGAGAGAGAGAGTTTCTTAGTTTGCTATTTGAACAATTGTTAACTTTTTCAATGTATATGGAGGAATGTGTGCGAGAGCAATTTTTTTTTTTTTGACTGTTGAGTCAATTAAGTCAAACAAACAGGTACATCACATGCACAAATTTTGAACCAAGTACGTTTTAGTTGATAGTCAAGACTCCAACCAACAAATCAATGTGAGCTGCGTTACGAGAGTAAATTATAACGTGTCACTTTCAGTTACAGTAGTTTTCACTTCTGGTTACTTTCCCAAGGGGACACCCTACAACAACAACAACAATATCAAGCCTTTATCCCACTATGTGGGGTCGGCTACATGAATCTTTTTTTCTCCATTGTGTTCTATTAAAAGTCAAATTCTCGTTTAAATCTAATAAAAAAAGGTCGTTCCTAATATTTTCTAATCAAGTCTTTTTAGGTCTGTCTCTACCTTTCTTAAAATAAATCAAATCTAATATCTCAACTCTCCTAACCGGGTCATCGAAAGGCCGTCATTTTATGTGACCAAACCATCTAAGGCGACTATCTCTAAAGAATGATAGGGCCATGCTTAGTTGGGGACACAACTTGGCTAGTTTACCAGCGGATCTGTTTCACTCAGGCAAACCACTCCGTGGAGGTACTAGAGTTGCCAGGCCATAATAAGAAATTCTTCACATCCACAATTTATATGCCAGGGGCTTATGAATTTTTGTCCTTGGTCTGATAACTAATAATCTCTATGCTCCGTGATTCTACTGTGCACTTGTCCATTTTTGCTATGCTCATTCAAGCATTAGCTTTCTCAATGCTCACATTATCTTTTTGAGGGATATACACTTGGATTGGTTTCATAGTTGTGTTGTCAATGTTAGTATAACTCTAAAGAGCTTGTTCCTATCTCCATGGATTAAATCCTCTCAACAAATTCAAATAAAATGAACTGTGCGATGAGGTGCTGCAGCTGTGTTGTTATCATCTTCACTTGTTGCCTACGATCGATCTAATTATGATAATCTGTTTCTAACTGCAGATGGCCGGCGCGGCGGAGACAGACAATCCACTGGTTACAGACAAAGTCAAGGTTTTTAACATATTTCTTCACTTTCTCTCTATCTTTAACCAGAAAACCGAACATCTCCAAGATTTTCTCATTTATAATGTGATCCAAATGTAGATTACAGTCACAAGCGATATCGTGACGAAGAGAGGACCAACGATTATGATTCGAGGAACTCCGATACTAATTCCAGACTGGTAATTAGGTTTCCAGTTTGATCGCTTGTAATGCTCGGCTTTTTGCTTCCCTAGGAATAACAGTTGCAGCATTCTTTTACAGGCGAAGAACCCTCGCTTTCGAGAAAGCGGCGACTCTGATGATGAAGACGACGATGGTCAGAAACGTCGCCGTTGAAATTTACCTGTAAGAGCCTTTACAGGCCGCCGGCGGGGCCATTACTTGTTGGGATAATAGCCGAGTAGGTTGACGAGTGCCCTTTGTTGTTAGATATGTAATTTTCCTTTTACTTTCAATGCCTCGTTAGTAATATTATCTTCAGCACTTAAAAAATTTAAAAAAAAAAGTTTTTTTTTTTTTCATGCTATTGGAGCATCTAAAATTGATTTCTTTTGAGAAATTTATATATGTATTTGTGAGTCATAATGATAGTTTTATTTATTTTTTATTATAAATGGGTGAAGAATTGCCTGTAATCATGTTATATAAATTTTATTTGTAGGATATGTAATGTAAAAATAGAAAGATTAAGATGAATGAATGATGAAATAAAATAATAATTATGACTAAAATTTATTTAAAATAAATAAAGTGAAAAATATATTTAGATGATTTTTTTTATGCGTTAATATAAAAAAATGTTACAAAAGTCCTTAAAAAGGAACAATTAGCTCACTAAATGCTCAAAGAGTTACAATCAAAAGCAAAAAAAAACCTAATGAGCCAAAAGTTCCCATCTAAGATACAAGTATAACAAAATAGCAAAAAAAAAAAAAAAAAAAAAAAAAAAAAAAAAAAAAAAAAAAAAAAAAAAAAAAAAAAAAGCTGCACCAGCTACAGCAAGCCTTCAACCAAAAACCATGCCTCAAATTTCATGCTCTTAGCCTGCAAAAGGATTCAAATTTGTACTTCTACCTAACATCAATCTTTACACTTGCAAACAAAATCAAAACCTGGATAGGCAACAAGCAGCATCAACAAAAACAAGCCAATAATCAGGACATCTAAAATAAAATCCCCCATAATTAAATATGGAAACCCAATAATACTAATAGTCCAGACTACCACCACCCTAGCACCCAGCCCCCAACAGCCAACACCCAAAGAACTAGACCTCTAACAGCAGCAAATCCAAACAGAGAAACACTCCACAGCAACACCCAACCAAATCAAAGCACCACACAATCCAAACAGCCGCAGCAAAAAAACCCCCCACACCAAAACAAAAACAAAAACCAACAACACAAAACCAAGAGCCTAGCAAACCCTTCCACACCCAGCACCCAAAACACTCCACCTTAAACACCCAACACAGTAAAGACTCCCCAAAAACAAAAACAAACCACCAAAAAATCAACCAGCAGCCAAGAACTGAGCACCAAAGGGGTTCCATAAGAAATTACAGCCAATCAGTACAAACTATTTTCTCAAATAAGGTAAACCACACTTATCCAATCTGATCAAACTTCTTAATAAAACCGTAATATTTGAATAATCAAAACAAATTAAGGAAATTAACTCAGCTCCCATGCGAGCCAAGCAATCTGTGCAAGCATTACCTTCTCTCCAAATATGAGAAATAGAATAATCCATCTGAGAAAGCATACTTTTAATATCCCTTAAGATATAAAAAATTTCAGCATTACCAATATTTTCTGGATTAAGAAAATTGATCACTAATAATGTATCCACTTCAATCCACACCCTTAAAATACCTTGAGATAAAGCAATTGTAAGAGCATGATACAAAGCCATAAGCTCAGCATAAAGAACACTACAATTTGAAAGAGGACAAGCAAAGCAGATCAACAAGTTACCACAGCATTCCTTGAAATACCACCACAACCCCATTTACCAGCAGCCACAGAGCCATCAATGTTAATTTTAATAACCCTCTCTTTAGGTTTTCTCCAATTCACAAAATTAAAGCAAACCTCCTCCTTTTTCTCCACACAATTATAACCAAGCTTTTTAATGACAAACTTAAAGCCACGGAAATGACCTTTATTAAACAAATCAGCTTTGTAAAGGCTATTAATTTTTCACTAGTTCTAGCAATAATCCTCTTATGATTCATAGCAAGATTCCTATACTTAGCATCATTCTTATCCATCCAAATGAACCAAATAATAGTAACAGCCATCACAATTTTAATATGACCCCTAGTACAATTATGAAATAGGGCAGTTAGAAAATGATTAAAAGAAAGATGCCCAGAAAAGTAGTGAGTATTAAAAAAATTATCATACCAAATCCAAACCTTAGCTGCAATAGCACCCTTGATAAAAAGGTGATTAATACTTTAAATGTGAAAGCAACACAAACACGTCGAAGGAAGATTAAAACCCTTTCTCCAAAGAATAGTATCAACATGAATGAACTTTTTATTAATTCTCCAAACAAGAACATAATAAGAAGTAGGAATGTTATTACTCCAAATCCTACATAAGCAACATAAATATCACATTTCTCCCTAATAGAATTCCAGATGTTTTTAAAGATGAAAGAACCATTAAATGAAACCTTGAAAAAAATCTGATCATCACAAGTATTATTAAAACTAATCTCTTTAATCTTATTACCAATCTCCACAGGGACTAAATCCATAATAGCATTCATATTCCAACCTTTCTCATTAAAAAAACTTCATAACTTTATCAGAAGAAATAGAGGAAGTAAAAAGAAGATTATCAAGAGAATCGTACCATTCATCTATCTTGCCAAAAGAAAGAGTTGCCAGAGTTTAAACCCCAACTAATAAGAGGTTCCACTCTATGTTTAATAGCACACATTCTTTTCCAAATAGCAGAATCACCATACTTATAAAAGCAACAAGAAGGATGCTTATATTTGCAATACTTGGAATTCATGAATCTGGCCCACAAACTCTTATTATTTCTAAAATTCCACCACATTTTACACGAAGAAGCTGTAATAGAGTCAGCAATAGTTTTACACCCCAAACCACCCTCATTCAATGGTCCACATAATTTATGCCATGTAGACCAATGCATTCTATGAATGTTAGTATGAGAACCCAAAAAAAATTTGTTAAGAATTCTCTCCAATCTCATAACAGTAGCAATATTAGGCTTCATGACTTGAAATAAATGAAAAGTCATAAAATTTAAAGTACTCTTAGTGATAGTCAACCTACCACCATAAGAAAGAAAATGATATTCCCATAGTGAAATTTTACCTTGAATCTTATTCATAATCTCATGAAACAAATGAGATTTCTTAAGCCCTTTAAAAATAGGAGCCCCCAAGTACTTAAACAGCAAGTTTTAATGATCAAAATTTGTGTAAGCAATAATTCTATTGATATTAGATCTAGAAATCCGTTTAGAAGCATAAAAGGCACATATATTTAGATGATTTGAATAAGTATTTTAGAGGGCAGAAGATTTACTAATTATGAATATATAAAATTATTCTGGATGAATTAGTATGGAAAAATGAAATATTAAGTATAAATAGATAAAAATTTGTAAAACAAAGCTTGTGTATATTAAAAAAATTCGTAATGCTGATCACATATAAGTAGAATAAGAATGATCGGTTATGATTAGGGTGTAGAATAGAGTAAATGTATTGATTTTAGAAAGCTTAGTGTTTAGATGGATGATAAGCAAATTTAAAGTAAAGTTAATGAATTCTATTTTATTTTAGTTTGTTTTTGAGGTAATTTGTTCTCGCTCAGTTTTGAGATAGAATCATTTGTATTGCTCTAAAGCATACTTGACCAACATTGATAGCCATTGCACAACCAAGCTGTTGCAAGTCGTCATCTGCCACTGTCTGTAGTCGCTCACCGTCGTTCACTATCGTTGATCATCATTGGCCAATGATTACTTCGAGCACAATTATTTTATATTTTACATTGCATTCATTTTACTTTAAATTAAATAAAAAAGAAGTAAAGTCGTACATTTTTTTATACTCATTCAAACAATTATAAATTATTCTTTTTTAGATTGTATTTCTTTTTCAGGCAATCAACAACGACAAACTAAACGATGAAGAAGCAAATGCTAAATGCTAATTTGTTTTTTATGCTTTTTTTTTGCACAAATAAAAACAATGGTCTTATTATTTATTAAAACAAGCAAAAAAAAAAATCTCTTTCTTTGTCTTTCATAAGGTGGGCAGTATATGTATGTATGTATGAATTATTATTAAAAATTATCAAATGTACTTAAAAATTTAATAATTTCTTAAAAAATATTGATGCATTTAAAGATTTAATAGTCATCAATTCAACTCTTATTAGACTAACTAATAAATTAATCAAATAAAAAAAAATTCAAGTATTCACATAAAAAATTCAAATAATAAAAACTCAAGTTCTGTCATCTTAGTCTTATGCACACCCTTATCTAACAAATAACAAAGATTTTATTTTGGTGGATTTTCAAATACTATAAAACATTTATCTATTTAGATGTCTAATATGAAAAGCATATTTATTCATGTAACATTTTATTGTATTTTAATGTATAAATTAAATCAAAATATAAGATATTTCATTAAAAAAAATTAATATTAATAATAATTTAATATGATTTAAATATTTATATATCATATAAATAAATATAAATATTTTAGTTTTAAATATGTAAACAGATAATAATTTTGTGGTCATGCTGAAAATTTCTTATTTTGTTAACATGCAAAACATTTAAAAAATAATTCATTTTCAAACGATGTGAGAGGTGCAGAGATGGGTGCTTCAATTTGGGTGCAAATACAATTTCTACCTATGAAAATCCAGCCACAAACACGTGACACGTTGCTCATCTTCCACAGCCACAAATGCCACGCGGCAGGATCTTAATCTATTATAATAATCTTGATAAAATCTCCTCGAAATCTTGACATCTTAAGAGAACCAATGACCTTCTGCCTACGTGGCTTCCTCCTCATCCACTTACCCACCTTCTTCCCTCTATTAAATCCCACCCCCTTCTCAGGCAATCCATCAAACACTTGAGCTACATAAATTCCCAAAACGCAGCTTTTGAGCCTCAAAGTTCTGCTCTCCAATGGCGACTTCTGCTATTCAAGCCTCAGCCTTCGCCGGCCAAACTGCTCTCAAACAGCCTAATGAGCTCCTTCGGAAGGTTGGCTCCGTCGGCAATGGCGGCCGCATCACCATGCGCCGCACTGTTAAGAGTGTTCCCCAGAGCATCTGGTATGCTTGTTCTACAGTTTTTAAATTAAATTTCTTCGTTTGGAGAATTATTATAGCCGCTTCTATGATAGGTACGGCCCAGATAGACCCAAGTACTTGGGCCCATTCTCTGAGCAAACGCCCTCTTATCTGACCGGAGAGTTCCCCGGCGACTATGGCTGGGACACCGCCGGACTCTCCGCCGATCCAGAAACTTTCGCCAAGAACCGGGAGCTGGAGGTGATCCACAGTAGATGGGCCATGCTCGGCGCGCTGGGCTGCGTCTTCCCCGAGCTCCTCGCTAGAAACGGGGTGAAGTTCGGAGAGGCCGTTTGGTTCAAGGCCGGGGCCCAAATCTTCTCAGAGGGAGGCCTGGATTACCTCGGCAACCCAAACCTGATCCACGCCCAAAGCATTCTCGCCATCTGGGCCTCACAAGTCATTCTCATGGGCTTTGTTGAGGGATATCGTGTTGGAGGCGGCCCGCTTGGCGAAGGCCTCGATAAGATTTATCCTGGCGGGGCCTTTGACCCATTGGGCCTTGCCGATGACCCAGAGGCCTTTGCGGAGCTCAAAGTGAAGGAACTGAAGAACGGGCGTCTGGCTATGTTTTCCATGTTCGGGTTTTTCGTTCAGGCTATTGTGACAGGTAAAGGACCCATTGAGAACCTGTATGACCACCTGGCTGACCCAGCTGCCAATAATGCTTGGGCTTATGCCACCAACTTTGTGCCTGGGAAATGAGTGTAGTTCTTTAATTTGTTCTGATGTTTCAGCTTTGATATGATGGAATGAGAACAATTCCTTCTTTCTATGTTCTTTTAAGGATCATTATTAGTATAAGTTAATGGTTGGGTTAATTTCAATGGTAAGAAATGTGATGGTTTAAGTTTAGGCTTTGTTTGGGGGCAAATTATTGCGTCCGGTGTCCGGATTCGTCTGGACATCAATCCAGACGCGCCACATCAGCAAAATACACAGGGTCCTTATGTATTTAAGTGATGTGGCGCATCCTGATTGATTGTCCGGATGTCAGGTGTCCGGATGCAATAATTCGTCTTGTTTGGGACAGCTTTCTTCCTGTTTTCTAAATTAATTTTTTAGTATAAAATTTTTTAATTTAAGTAATTTGTATTAGAAAATTATTTTAAAAAACAGTAAAGAGAGTCTTCCCAAATGAAGCCTTGGTCTTATATCTAATAAATAAATAAAAAACTATTGAAAGAGTTAAGCTATGTAATTGACTCTTATGAATAGGCTTAATCTTGTAATTATATGCATTGCAAATACCTATCATTATGGCAAGATTGAAAAATATTGAAGTCAATTTTATTGTTCATTTTTGCAATTGGTAATAATTTTAAATGTCTTTTACAACATTTTTATGTAGGCTCAACATTTCTACTATCGCTTTATAAAACTTTATAGTTTATTAATTTGGTACATCTTCAATTTGAAATTATTTGTGGAAATCACATATTCAAAAAACTTTTATCATATCTATGACATTAGTATATGATCTTATTTAATGTTAAGCCACTTTGAGAGAATGAAGAAATTAATAAACTCCTTTACACCACTAATAAAATCATTTGACATATGACTAACAATATCTAAAAGAGATATATCAATGCATGATCATTAGTCATATCTTATAAGTCGTCGGCCACTTTTTACTACGATTGCCTCAAAGCAAATGTAAAAAATGATTTTAGCAAATATCTATTTTAAAATATTTTTTTAATATACATATTTCATTTATGAAAGCTTGCATAACTCACAAAAAATTTATTTGCCAAACTAATAATCATTGCATTCAAATGCAAACTAATTCACTTACAAGCGTGTGATATTTATACAACTACCAAGAATTCATTAATCATTTATTATTATTATTATTTTGTATATTAATTTATATATAAACATTTATAGTCAGTTTACTACAATATCCTACTGGGAAAGATAAGCACTAATCCCAGGGAAATCCAATAATTTCTTATAGAGCCGTCACTCCGAGGACCCGTTGGTCCGACTAACCAATATCCAATAGGGTTAAATATCGACATTTACAAGCAGCAAACACACAAATTTGTATTATATACATATTGTACTTCAATAATGATGTTTAACAAATATTATAACATAATTAAACACAGTTATATGTATTAAAAAATTTATGATTTTCATAAACAATAATAACTCAGAGCAATGTGGATAAAGTATGTGAACTATTTAGAAAATTGTGCAATAATAAAAAATGACAACACTAACTATTAAATCACGTCAAAATACTAACATGCAATGCTGTGAATGCATTATCACATCTTATTATACACATTATTCACATACAATGAGTAGCAAGGGTTAGACGTCTAAGAAAGAAAGATACGCTTATCCCTTACTCAGTAAAGAGTCACCTATCAGATGTAGACCATAAGGAGCCCCACTTTTTAAGCATGTGCTGATGTTCTCAATCCAACATGTGGTGATCCAAAAGAAAATCTTAATTCATAGGAATTTAAATCAATTATATATTTAAGGCATTGCACATTAAAATATCAAATAATTACAACATTCAATAAAACATATGTTTGAAATTAATAATTCTACCATCTCCCTTTCCATTGTGAATGAGTTATTTAATAACTTCTATATCAAATATCAATGACCATGACCTTATGAAATCCTTAATACCCTTTTTAAGATTCTTTATGACCAGCACCTTAAATTGATTTAACTATATAATTTATTTGCATATAATCTCTTATATCTCATATATTCTTTGGAGACCAAATAATAACTCTTGTGAGGAACATACTCAAGAGTTGATCAAGATGATTAAGTTTTTAAATATAAAATAATAAGATGCTAAATAAAATTTATCTTATTCTAAAGTAAAAACAAAAAACAGGGAAATTCAAATCTTACACTCATATAACGAAGAAGAGGAAGAAGGAAAACTTTCATGGGAGATCCATGTGGTTTCCTCTTCAACCATTAATTAGCTCTCAGTCTTCCTTGCAAGCTATCAAATAATAACATCTTTCAAGCTTCTAACCTTAGAAGAAAGAAGATGATGGCGGTGTAAGAAATAAAAAGAAGAGAAGATAGGTTGTTTAACTTTCTGCCTCCATTGACTTCCTCTTCATTAACCTTGCTAACGCCATGATAACAAAACCACTGAACCTTGAAGCAGCCAACCAAGACCACTTCTTTCTTTTGTTGGAATGTGCATGCCATGGTTGCTGTCATCGACTATCTCCTCGAGTTCCAGTTTGTAAGCTATGTCACGAACCCCTCCTTGCATTTCTCGCCACATCCCTCTTCTCTAGTTCACCCATGCCCTAAGCCCCACTTCCAATTTAAAAGGCATGGAATTGCCTGATAGGGCGCAATATGAAGCGAGCCGAGTTGGTTGAACCAGTTCGGTTCAAACTCCCCTCTTTGGGTTATTTACACAAACAATCTTAATTTTTTTTTTGCATTTTTATAGTCAAATTGAGCGTCTTGAGGAGTCAAGTTTTCTGATTGTAAATAGAGTGGCTTGATAAGTCGAATCCAACAAGCCTAAGATCAGTTGACTCTAAGATTATTAAGACACTTAAATACTAAATGAATGGTATATGATCCAAGATTTAATATGAGCAGCTTGATGCAGTGTTATAGAATTTTGGGCGAAGTTTTCAAAATGTCACTCCCTAAATATTTTAAATAGACAACCTTTATCCACATAAAGGGGGCTTGGACTTCAATTTAGAGAGAAAATAAAGATTAGAAGAACTCTTGGAGCCTACTTAATGATTCAAGCTGATGATCAGCGTTATCCACCACCATTGCTTAACAATAGGCATATGTCTACTAGCACTTCAATGTCATCATTTGACTGTCATTATTCAATTGTTATCGTTTGGCTACTATTGCCTGACCATCACAATCCATTCAACATTATCTGATCGCCATCATTTGTTTATTCTTACCTGACTATCATCATCCAACCATTATCATTTGATCATTCTCGCTTGACTAACACCATCCAATATATGCATTTTCAGTGCTATCTCACATTCACAAAAAAAATAAAATTTTATAACATACATTGCAATATCATATTTTCTAACTGAGGTGGAAGAACATATTATTATTTATATATCATAAAAAATTATCTTGGTCAGGCACGAATCTTGAGGCAAAATCAAGTTAGAAACTTTCAAAATTAAAATTAAGACCATCCAAACTCCGATTTCAGCTAACTTTTAGTCGAATTGATCGTCTCGAAATTATGAACCCAATGACACCAAATTCTCCTCAATCTGAGCCCAAATGAGTCCAAATCAAAGACCCAAAGCACATTTGGAAGGTTCAAACCATGACTTGGATTACCAATTAGTTTCCAAACATGACCAGCTTATATTCATATCGAGCGGGTCGACGAGAAAAATCCAACGAACCCAAGATTAGTAAATTCTTATATCATTAAGACATTCAAATATCCAGTAAATTGTCTAAGATCAAGGGAATTGACATAAGCCATCCATTCAAACCACTCCCAATTTACCCTTGATTTTCCTCCTATTTACTGGCTATGCCACTCTTAAAAATCTATAAATAGACCCCTCACTTCTCATGAAAAGGGGCCCCAAGCAAGGAAGAGAAGGACGAGATGGAATATGAGATTCTCTCTTGCACCAAGCTTCTTAACCACTGCACAGATTTCCGCCGGATCACCAATTGATGCCCGAATTTTCACTGAACCATCAACTGATGCCCGTACTTCTACCAAGCCACCAACTGACGCCCGGACTTCTATCAGACCACTGACTGACTTTGTAGTTCTACTGAACCACCGAATGATGCCTGATTTCTACCTGGCCACCGACTTAGGCCGGATTTCTACCCGACCACTTACTTACGTCGGACTTCTGCCCAGCTATCGACTTACACTGGACTTACACTTGATCGCTAACTTATGCCGGACTTCCACCGACTTCTAATTATTCTTGGACTTCCAAACGACAATAGTCCTTCTGACCTTCGTCACCCTCCGACTACTGTCCTTAAGACCTCCATCCCCAGACAACAGTCTTTATGACTCTATATCCCCCGACTAAGGTCTTTCCGACCTCTGTCACCCACCTACTATGATCCTTTCGAACCCCATCGCCCACCGACTACGGACTTTTGACCTCCATCACTTAACAACGGTCTTTCTGACCTCCGTCGCCGGTCGATTATGGTCCTTTTGACCAACATCATCCGAATACGATCTTTCCAACCTCTGTCACGTGACAATGGTCTTTCCGACCTCCGTCGCTCGCCAACTATGGTCCTTCCGACCACCCTCACCCGACTATGATCTTTCTGACATCTATCGCTCGCCGACTATGATCCTTCCGACCACCCTCACCCAACTACAGTCTTTCCGACCTCCGTCGTCCACCGACTGCTATACTTCTGACCTCCGTTGCCAGACAACAGTCTTTATGACCTCCGTCGCCCACACACTACAGTCCTTCTGACCTCTGTCGTCTATAAACGATCTTTCTGACCTCCGTCGCCTGCTGACTATGATTATTCCGACCACCGTCACCCGAATACGATATTTCCACCTCCATCGCCAGCCGACTATGATCATGCTGACCAAACAAACATATCAATTCTGATTCTTCTAATTTCCACCATGTAATGCACTTTATATGATGTATATTTATTGCACCAAGCCAAGGCGTTCCCTCTAAGGAAGGGCCTCATTTGTAATAAACTACAAATACTAGTAGATTCATTCAAACTGGGCCAGACCCCATGGTTTTCTCATTTTCAAGATTTTTCACGTAAAAATCTAAAATGTCTCTTATAAATGTTGTATTCTCTCTCTTATCTGATTGTGTGCTGGATCTTCATACAAAACTAAAACGTAAACTTTATATTTCTCTACCGCCGCGAATATTTTAAGACACAACAATTATAATATACCTATATAGTATATTATTTCATTTTGGTCAGGCTGCCTGATTTTATCCCTTCATGAATTTGTTACATAAAAATTCTAATAATTATTTCATTCTTTTTTATTATACATGTGTATTAGATCTTCATGAAAAAATAGAATGCAAAAAATTTATCTTTGCCTCAATGAATTTTCAATTTTGCCAAATTTTGCCACGCGCAACATTTATGAAATATTACGATTTGTTTAAATATATGATGATGTGCAAAGTAAGAAAATAATTGAATTTTGATTGTTTTTTTTTATAATATTTGTTCCCAATTGCTCATGGGAAGAAGGCCGCCACGAGGCCTTTGGTCCTCCAAGCTCAACCACATGCTCTCAAATCGCGCCGCCGTGGTCTTCTGCTAACCAGTCCCTCTTCCACCACGGCGGCCTCCTTCTCCGCCGCCCCCGCCGACAAATGAGATGAAACCACTTGTCTTCTTCAATGGCGAGAATTCCAATCCCCTTATCCCTTCTCCATCCCCTCCCCAAATTCCGACTACAACTCCAAACTCCCTCCGTTCTCTTCCTCCTTCCTCGCCCTCTCTCGTCTCTCATAGACGCTGATCTGTCGCTGTCTATCAACCGAATTCTCGCAGACCCTCAATGGCGCCATAGCCCCGATCTCTCCCGCCTCGCCCTTTCTCTTCAACCTCATCAAACGCTCGAAATCCTCCGCTCCCACCCCGATCCTCTCCGCGCACTGGATTTTTTTTATTGCCTTTCTCAGAGGCATTCTCACAAACACGTTATCGACTCCTACGCCACCATCCTCCACCGCATCGTTCTCGCCGGCCTCTTCGTCCCTGCGCATAGGCTTAGGATCCTGATGATTAAGTCTTGCGAGACGGAACAAGAAATTGTTAGTGCAATCGATGTGTTGAAGGATTTGGATGCGAAGGGTTTCACCCTCGATGTTTTCTGCTACAATACGATTTTGATTCGGTTGGGTAAGCTGGATTTGATCGGCGTTGCCGTCGATATTTACCAACAGATGCTGGGAAGTGGTGTGGAGCCGTCAATTGTAACTTTCAATGCTCTGATCAATGTTTTGTGCAGGAATGGGAAGGTGAAGGAGGCGAATGTGATATTGAACAGGGTTTTTCAGTGTGATCTCCTGCCTGATACATTCACTTACACGTCGATCATATTAGGGCACTGCAGGAATGGAGACCTTTTTTCTGCATTCAGGGTTTTTTACTACATGCAGAAGAAGGGCTGTGAGCCTAATTCTGTGACTTACTCAACTTTAATCAATGGGTTGTGTGATGAAGGGAGGGTGGATGAGGCTTTGAATTTGATGAAGGAGATGGTGGAGAGAGGCATCATGCCGACCGTGTACACCTATACTCTACCCATCAAAGTACTGTGCTGTGATGGGCTTGTGGGAGTGGCCAGCAATTTGATTGGAGATATGAAGAAGAGGGGATGCAGACCAAATGTTCAGACTTATACTGCGCTTATCAGTGGTCTTTGCAGATCAAACATGATAGAATTGGCAATTGGGTTGTTCAATAAAATGGTTTTGGATGGTTTAGCACCAAATACAGCAACATGTAATGCGTTGATCAATGGGCTATGTGAAATGGGGAAGGTTCAGTCTTCTTCTAGGGTTTTCAGTTTGATGGAGAGGCTGGGTTGCTTTCCAAATACCCAAACATGCAATGAAATAATCAAAGGACACTGTTTAATGGAAAGAGTTGACAAAGCAATGGTGGTTTTACATAAGATGCTTAAATTTGGTCCGTCACCAAACCAGATAACATATAATACAATCATTAATGGGTATTGCAAAACTGGTAATTTGAGTAATGCGATGCGATTGGTGAATTTTATGAAGGAGAATGGCTGCAGTCCTGATGAGTGGACTTATACTGAACTCATATATGGATTTTGCGAAGCAGGGAAGCTGGATTTGGCATCTAAGGCATTTCAGGAGATGCCGAAATTAGGTCTGAGACTGAATGAGATTACTTACACTGCACTTATTGATGGTTATTGTAAGAACAAGAAGCTGGATGCTGCATTGTTGTTGGTAGAGGGGATGGAGGGAAATGGTTGCAATCCAAATGTGCAGACCTATAATACTATGATTAATGGGTTCTCAAAGGAAAATAGACTCACAGAAGCCGAGAAATTGTTCAATCAAATGCTCGAGCGAAATCTGTGGCCTAATGTTGTTACATACACATCCTTGGTAGATGGATTCTGCAGAAATGGTTCTACTTCTCGTGGACTCAAAATCATGGATGAAATGATGAAGCAGGGTTGTGCTCCCAATCTCCACACCTATAATGTTCTAATTTCTGGCTTGCTACGAGAAGGCAATATTAATGAGGCTGAGCAAATGTTTGAAGGATTGGAAGAAAATGGGTTAGCACCTGATCGTGTAACGTTCACTTCATTGATGGATGGCTATGTTATGTTAGGTAGGCTGGATCTTGCTTTTTCACTTATGAAGCGAATGGTTGATGCTGGGTGTAGAGCAAATTATGGAACCTATGCTGTTCTAAGGAAAGGATTACAGAATGAACGCCAACTAATGGAGCAAAAAATTGCAGTTTCAGAAAATGCAAGCAATACTTACAGTTTGGCAGAAAAAGAAATGGAAATCGACACTGTTTCAAGCTTATTAAATAAGCTAGTTGAATTCGGTTGTGACCTTAACGATGATATTTATAATATTTTGATTAGTGGTTTGTGTAGAGAAGGGAGGTGGTATGAGGCAAATGAGCTAAGTAGAAGCATGATCAACCAGGGTTTTCTTCCAAATGAGGATACATTTAATTCCTTGTTGCTAGTATTTTCTAAGCAATTGATGGTGGATAATGCTTTAGAAATATTGAATACAATGGCTGAAAGTGGATTTGAACCATACCTGGTTTGCTACAAGTCATTAATCTGTGCTCTCTGTAAAGTGGAGCGGATTGAAGATGCTCAACATCTATTTGAAGGCATGCTTCTGCAGGAGTGGAATCCGGATGAGATTGTGTGGACAGTCCTCATTGATGGCCTGGTGAAGGAAGGAAAATCAGATTTTTGCATGAAACTTCTTCATGTTATGGAAGCTAGGGCTCATCCCCCCTCTTTCCACACTTATGCTATTTTAGATAATGAACTTTCTAAAGAAGAGAGCTATGCTGACCGAATTCATGTTGCTGATACATTAAAGATCTGAAAACTTGTCTGGCTTTGAGTTCCTCATAAGTGGAGGAAGTGCAAAGTAACAGAAATTTTTATAGGGAAAATTCCATTTTGCTTTAATGGTGGAATTCACGATTCTAAGGCAAATTGGATATGGATGTTCAAGACCAGAAGAACAGAACTCTCGGCATGCAACTCATAATCTTATTGGGACTTGGGTAAAATTCTTTGTTATAATAGATGGACTGAACTGATGGATATCTGGTTGATCGATTGTTCTGGTTCTAGCTTCAGTTGATGCCATTGAACTGAAACGATCCAGATTGACCCACTGGTTTTATGAAAAAATGGAAATTGGTGATCCGGTAATTAATCCAGTGGTTCTCAGACGCCTGAATTAGATGAGGTAAATAGATTAAAACATCTAAATTTCCGTGAATGTTATATTAGGGGGCTTCATGTATCTTGATTTTAATGATTTTCTACAAAAAATAATTTAGAAATCCGCATTTATTAAACATGTTGTAATTATTATAATAAGCTTTTCACTTTACATGTTATTGGTAAACAGTAATTACTCCACTTTTGACCCAGTGAACCTACCTCTTGTCCCCTTGCATGGGTCAAATTCGAGTCCGGGCCTACTAACTTTAATAAAATGTTTTGGGCTGCTATCTTGTGCGCATTATATTATCGTAGGATGTTGTCCAGAGCTAATTTATATGTTTTACATTTTTGCAGTGGCTATACATCGAGTTCAAGTGGAAAGTCTGAAGAAAGTCAGTAGTCCTAGTGAAGGAACTATACATCTTATTATTCAGGTACCGTCCTTTATTATATTCATTACTCATAGCGGTTTATATATATATTTGTTTTTGTTCCATCGGACATCTACTAAGTTAATAACATGTGGATGCACAACTTTATGTTGCCAGTCCATGCTCTTGATGGATACTGGTTTGGAAAGATCTATATTTTGCAGCATAGGTTAAAATTTTGTTTTAAGTTTCAAAGGAGTAGAACTATTCCATGCACTTGTGACAGCCTACATCAACTATGATTAAAGTAGCTTTCTTGTGTCCATGATAAAAAAATGTTTGCATGTCTACCTGTGAGAATTATAACAGGCTTTCACTTTGCATGCTATTTCTCTTGAGTGAGAATGATCTACTTCATGAATGATGTATCCTCCTAAGGTCTAACTGTATCAATTCCCTCCATTCCCTTCTCTGCATGAACATGTTTCACTATCTACTGTCTCTAAAGCTGTATCTTCGGTAAATCTCCAGTTAGGCTAAGGAAGATGAATTTCATGTCTTAATCTTAGGCTAAGCTAACATTGACTGGAGTTCTGAAAAGATTTTCCTAGACTATGCTTAGCATCTCATTTAGTACAATACAAGACTAAATGGGAGTGAGGAATCATAAAGTTAGCCCAAATAGTTTTGGGATAAGTCAAAACTGGAATTACTTTATTCACCATGATGTAGGATTTAAACATGCAGGCCACTCTGACCCTCCTAAAAGGACGAACACTTGTGCATCTTGTCCTTTTGCAACACGGAAGTACAAGCTAGTTGAAGGAACTACAAGAAAGTATCAATCTATTCTGTTTGGAGCAAAGTGGCCGTTATGCTTTGAAATCAACCTTATGGCGTTGGAGGACAAATTTTATAAATCATTTTAGATGATGACTGAACTATATTTGCAGAACAATTACTTATAGTTATTAACTATATGAATGATGCATTGCCTAGTTTTAGAAGTATTTGTAGAGTGATCATAAAGTTCTTCATCATTAATAGATCACATCAGGGATTAATAATAAGTTCTTTTTTTTATATGATATGGAGTTGGTTATAAACTATACTTAAAATGAGATACCTTGGTGTGTCATAGTTCTAATTGATGTAAGCTTATTTGATTTAAGTGGAAAGTAAGAATAATGAGAAAATGTTTAGAAAATATGGGATTTAGGATTAGTAGAATAAAATTTATGTGTATTATATGTAATTTTAATGAGAATGATATTGATAGTTATCAATTAACATTGTTTTAAGATCAAGAGATATTTAGGTGTGATCGTTTAAATACTTGAATAGACTATATAAAATTATAATAATATAGACAGTGATATGATTTCCAGAGTTGAGGTTGAATGGTTAAAATGAATGCAGTAAGAGAATATTACGAAGAGTTGAAATACAAAATACTAAATTTTATAAAATTAAAATTAGGCTAGGCTTTTATGTGGCTTTGAGTTTTAGGCGACATAAAAGTCATTAATAGTCAATTTGAATGTGCTGAAAACGGAAAGGTCAGATTGTATGTGTGGTAAAGCAAGGAAGATAAGATAGAGACCCACTTATATTAGCACCTATTGACAATAAGGTAGTGAAAAATATATTCTATTTGAGATAAATTTCTAATACCCCTTGTGGTAGGAAAATTTGCCAACAAAAAGTAATTTTTCTATTTGTATGACAACTATTACTATTTTTAAAAAAATTGTCTTTGAAAAAAATTATTTTTGGGGAAACATAATAGAAACTATAGATGAAAAGGTGCTTTCAACAACAAAAGTATTAAAGCATAAGCCGTCCCAAACAAAATCTATAATCTTCTTTTGTTTGGACATGTAGAATGGAGGGTAAATTTTATATCCATGATAGTCAGATTAAGTAAACAAAATTGTTTGAAAATTGAGAGGACAAGGATGAACAAAAACCACCATGGATAGAAGTTTTTCAAAATGATTTAAGAAAAATATATTTGACATCTCATGTAGTACACAACAAGAATTAATGAAGAATCAGAATTCATAAATCCGTCTTCATACATTGGGATAAATTTGATGTTGTTTTTGTCGATGAAAAGTTTAATTCTTCTATCACAAACTAAAAATAAATTTAAACATGTGAAGACTAACATAAAAGATTTGGAAAAGTTGGAATAGTATGATGGACAACATCTTATTGTTTTATGTATCGTCACGATATAAATCCACTTCAAAATGCTCAAGTGTGAACATACGGTATGAAGTGTATTTATAGGTTTAATCATCAACAAGACAACAACTTAATCAAAATGACCTATAATACTATCAACTCAGTATATTAAGGATTAAATGACTGTCATGGACAAAATAATAAATAAAAATGTTTCTCCTAAGGAAATATAAGTTCAACAAAATATCTTGAATTCAACAAATTATCTTTATAGATTTATACTAGATACTTGGGGCTAGCTTTATGAATCCCTATTCTCCATTTATTGATATTGAGTATTCCATTAAATTTTAATTATACTATGCACAAATCTTTTCATGCAACTTTTAATCATATTATTTTTGTTATATTCTTTTTCATGCCTAATAATATCACAAATTTGTTGGTATATCATATTGAAGCATCTTTCATCTTTCATTGTATATGCACAAATTATTTAATTCTATTTTTCATTATCTTTATCATCAATAGGCAATACTCCTACAATCCATCTTATATAATCATCTTCTAAAATTGACCAACACCCATTTGTTGATTTTGGCAGAAGTTTAATAATTGAATGTCAACCTAACATCAACATTTAATCTTTATTATCTGGCCTTGAGTCCAACAAGGGCAGTTTAAATTCAAATATGATTATTGTTCAAACTCAATTTAAATTTATGCATAATTCTTGAAATTAAGTTTTCCATATTTTATTCAGGTATGCTTGTTGAACTTGAAACTTTCTATGAATAAAATATCCTTCTATAAACTATGCGAATGAATCAATAGTCTCTCAGAGTGTGAGACTATTGGATTGGCTTCTAGAAACTTTTAAAGATTTCATGATGCAATGAATGTTGAATATTTATATGGAATAAACCATTCATAGGTTGGTTATAGCTAGTTTTTTTGGTATAGGCCTGGTCTTTATCTTGGGGCTGCAAATAAATTTAGACTACTTGTTATTTACTTAATTTTTTTTTAAAAGGACTCTATTCAAAATTTTGCAAATAAAGTATATCTTGGCTCACTAAACTATTTAATATTATTTTGAAGACTAAAAAAAATGTCAGATAAGGAGAGTAGATGTGTTAGATTTGGCCTATGTTAAGAAATATAGAGGTAGACCTAAAAAGACTTTGTTAGAAAATATTAGAAATGATCTTTCTTTATTAGAGTTAAATGAGAATTTGACTCTTCACAGGACATAATGGGATAAAGGCTTGATGTTGTTGTTGGAGGAGGATTACATCAAGGATCAACTTTAAGGCCATATCTTTTTGCTCTATTCATGGATGTTCTTACTGGACATTTACAAGAGGATGTACCTTAGTTTATGCTTTTGGTTGATGATATTCTTCTTCTTGATAAGACTAGAGAGGGAGTTGAAGGAAAACTTAAATTATGGAGATCAACCTTAGAGTCTAAACATTTTCGTTTGAGTAGATCTAAAACAAAATACATTGAGTATTATTTTATTAGTAATAAATCTAGTAGGGATATTGTGACTTTGGGTGATTAAGTCATTAAAAAGAGTACACGTTTTAGATATGTTAGTTTTGTTTTTCAAAATGATGATGAAATAGATGGGCATATTATTAGTAGAATTCAAGTTGAATGTTGAAGTGGAGGAATGCTTCATGCTTATTGTGTGATAGAAAAGTATCCCTCAAACTTAGGGGAAAATTTATAAAATGATGGTGAGACCTTCAATGCTTTGTGGCTCAGAATGTTGTCATTAAAAGAGAAGCATAAAATTATGTCGACTATTGCAGATATGAGGATGTTCAGGTGGATGAATGGCTTAACACTTAGAGAGAGAATGCGAAATGAGTATATATGTGAAAAGGTTGGAGTAGCTCCAATGATAGATAAGATTAGAGAGAGTTGCCTGATGGTTTAGTCACATAAAACGTCAGCCTTTGGATGACCAAGTTAGGAAGAAATTGTTATGTGCAGACTCTGGACGTAGCTCTGCATCCGGGCACCAATTAAATTTAGACACACACACACACATATATATTCAATTATTCATACAATACGATGACCTGACCTAGTCCAGTCATGCGATTTTTAATTTGACACTCGCTTTTACATTTTTAAGAAAGAAACCCATGAAAGCTCCTAAATATTTAGGGTTTTAGCAGAATAAAAATTTTGGTAATTGTTGAGAAATAAAAACGAGAAACAGACAATGAAGATGGAAACTGGTTTGGAGGACGTTGCATTCTCCAAGGAGTTGACATGTTCATAGGACATGGAGACTGAAAGGCGATATGCAAACATTCAGGAAGACTTGAAAACAAGACTGTAGCCAACCATGAAGAGTTTATAGGATCGTACGTAGATTGCAAGATTGGTTGAAATGAAATCAATTTGGTTGGAGGTGCTGTAGATTTGAACTTCTTATCGGTAAAGAAACAAGCTGCAGCCAACCATGAAGAGTTTACAAGATCATTCGTAGATTGCATGATTGGTTGAAATGAAATCAATTTGGTTGGAGGTGCTGTAGATTCGAACTTCTTATCGGTAAATTTTAAACTCCTCTCAAGTTTTACTGTATTTCATGTTAATGTATAGTTTTTAGGGTTTATGGTGTATTATTCAATTATTTATATTGAATGACACGAACAATCATGCTTTAGAACAGCAACTATGTAAAACATTTTGTAAAATGATAATTTTTGGAAGTTAAGGGTTTTTCTCAATTGTATAAATATTGTGGCATACTTAATTATGTGTTTTTTTACTCTTTTTAATATTTTTTGCACTAGCATGCAATGTGTGTACAAGGGAAATATTTTTGAATTTTGTTTTTTTCCTTATAT